GATACTCAAGGGTTGTGCAACCATTGCCACAATAATTTTAGAACATTTTTGTCACCCACCAAAGAAACCCCAGACCCATAAACACTCATTTCCCATCTGCTCCAGCTCCCGCCCCCAAAGACCACTGGTCTACTTTCTGCCTCCATCAGTTCGCCTATTCTGGAGATTTCCTACAAGTGGAATCACACAGGGCTTGTCTTTCGTGCCCGGCTTGCTTCACTTAGGCTCATGTCCTCCAGGCTCGTCCACGTTGGAGTGTGTGTCGTTGCCTCCTTCCTTTTTGTGGCTGAATCATCTTCCGTTGTGGGCTGCACCACGTTGTGTTTATCCACTCATTAGCTGATGGACATTTGGGCCGTTTCCACTGTCTGGCTATTGTGAGTCATGTTGCTCTGAAGGTCCATGTACAGGATTTGTGTGGACATTCCCATGGCCTTAAACTCCGTCTCCACGCAGATGACTTCAGCCGGGACCTCTCCCCTAGACCCTGGACTTGTCTTCCAGCCCGTTCAGCTTCTGCATTTGAGGGTCCGCCAGGCATCTCTTACAGAGCATGCTCAAAACCAGATGCCAGGTTCACGCCTTTCGCCAGACTTCCCACCAGCCCCTCCATCCCTGTCTCAGCAGACGGCCCTCCGTCCTTCTGGTTGCTCAGGCCAAACCTTGGGGTTATGTTTGGTGCTCCTCCTTCCCCACCGCACATGTCTTGCCATGAGGAGGTCTTGTTGGCTCTGCTCTCAGACCCTGTCCAGAGTCCAGCTGCCTCCTAACACCTCCACTCCCTGTGTGCTGGGCCACTGCCATGGCCCCAGCGGGCCTCTCTGCCTCTGCCCTTGTCCTCCGCAGGCTGCTCTCAGCTCGGCAGCTAAACTGAAGTCAGTTCATGTCACTTCTTCCCGGACAACCAAGATCTTTGCCATTGCCACCTGCAAGGTCCTACCCGATCTCACCTATGTTCCCATCCAACCTTGTCTTCTTCTCTGCTGGGCCAGGCATGCTTCCTGAAGTTCTGCGAACAGAACAAGCAGCTTTCTGCCTCAGGGCCTTTGCACCTGCTCTGTCTTCTGCTGGGACATTTTATCCCACTTCTACTGAGGCTCACTTATCATCTTTGTCTGGCCTCTGCTGCTTGAGTGCCCCGTCTGAGGCCTTTTCTGGCCACCTCTGTGATAGAGGAGCTGCCTCTGCCGC